TCTCCATCTCCTTCTGAGGCTCAGCCTGTGTTTACACCATCTCCATCTCCTCCACACCAGCCAGCTTAGCCAGCTCGAGAGCGTGCCAGGTCTGCGCCCAGATATGCACAGATGTCAGTGGCTCATGAGTCAGTTTTTAATGTCGACTTCTTCTCCAGATTGGTGCTAACCTGATCAGCTTATTATGATATTATCCGGAGGGGCCTTGCAGCTATTCTTGCCCCAGTTACTGAGCCAGTCTACCCGCGGCTAGTACGGATGATCTTCCAGAACCTCCGACCGTCCCCGCGTACCACGGCAGAGCTGGTCACTACCATAGATGGCCACCAGATTACTATTATAGTGGACACACTAGCCAGATCATGCCATTGTCCACACTGATGCCCTCCGGAGCTGCAGGAGCTATATCCGAGGCTATACAGGCCTTCTTATGCCGACATGGCAGTATTTCTGACAGGTCACTATGCCGATGGCGAGACTTTCGCCACCCGCACTTATCTTCCAGATGACCTATGGTTCTTTGATTCCGTTCTCTTTCGGAACATATATATGGTCGGGCACAAGATTCAGCAGCGAGGCGACATTCTGACAGCCCTCTACGCATTTTATACAGGCCACAGGGTATCTATCCTCGTGCTCATCTGGAGCGTGATGAAGAAGCTCTACGATGAGCATATCAGCAAGGAGAGGCCTAAAAGGGCCAAGTCTCTCCCATTTGGCCCCCTCATCACCCAGATCCTGATTAACCAGCAATATCCTTTCCATCCTCAGGAGCACCCTGAGAGAGGTTCCTGTCACTTCTTGAAGAAGGACTAGGACAAGAGCTATAATGCTATTATTGCCCGACTACAGGAGGATGCAGCTCAGGCTGCAGAGGACTTAGCTTTAGAGGATTTAAAGGCTGAGGCCCCAACAGCAGCAGACCCGGCAGCGGACGATGCACCAGTTGATCCGGTTATTGAGCGTATGGACATTGATTTAGAGCGACCTGCAGATGACGCAGAGCAGCACTCTCCAGCTAGATCACCCATTCATGCAGAGGAGCAAACTCAAGATCTTTCTACTGATTCATCCGTACCTGAGGCTCCTAGTCAGATCCCTAGCTTTGGAGAGCGTCTTCAGGCTCTTGAGGATGCAGTGATTGCTATCAGAGCTAATACTGCTGCCATTCGAGCCGATGCTGTGGGCCACCGAGCTAATTTTGCTACATTCCGCACGGATGTCATGACTGCACTCTGAGACTGATCTCACGATATTCGCGGAACTCGCCCTGCCCGTCCTGCCTTATCCACTTGAGATTCCCAGTTTCTTATATCTTTTTATACTACACCTCTATGATCTATACTTCATTTTTGTCACTGTATATTATTTGCAGCCGGATATGTCGGCTTTGCTCTTTTGATGTACTCTATACTTTATTTTCTTTATATATATGTTTTCGCTGTGGATGTTATCTATCATATTCTTATATCTGTCTGTTTGACTCCATCAGGTGCGTCACAGTGACTACAGTGAGAGAGAATGCTACATAATTTTTAGGACCCCCCTTATATCTCTCTCCCTACTTTATCTATTTAATCCCATTTACACTTGCATGTCCATTGTGCACTGATTATCCCTTTTGTTATCTGATCAAATTATCCGAGTGCCAAATTTCAAGACCACAGTTAATCCCAAGTTTAGGGTGGCCATGCCACCCACTTTGGATACTTCAGTTCCAGCCATTCTTTTCTTTAATTGCACCGGTATACTCTTTCCTTTCTTCCCTTTGCACATTGAGGACATTGTGCCGTTTAAGTTTGGGGGTAATGGTGTATGTTACAATGTTTGCTTTTAAATTCAAAATTTTGAGCATGACTGGTGTATTTGAGAGATTTTCTATGATTGGTCTATATTAGCGATGATTTTGATCTTTTGAGGACTATATTGCTTAGAATTTAAAAATTGCTTGACTTGAGAGTCCAATACTTCTTGTATACCTTGCGGATGCTATTTAGGAGTAAATTTTTCAAAAGATTGATATCTTGCTTGCACTTGTGATCCATATCATCCTGATTTTGTGATTGTTTTGAAATTCACTATAGTATTCTACACTATCACATGCGCACACTAGCATTCATTTGTGGGGTACATGCTTTATTGATTATTGAATTGGTTATATCCCAATTGGGCTAGTAGTGCATTGAAAGCTTTCATTCTTGATAAAAAAAAAGTTACAAAAGTAATAAAATAGTAAAGACTTCTCCCAAAAAAGTGAGAAGTGGGAAATGATTAGATGGAAATTGTCTTGATTTATAGCCTAGTTGATTTGAGCTTGTAAGTCCGTAGGGGTGTTTGAACGCCTAATACCTTAAAGCCATCTGGTTTGGGAGTCATTGACCTAACGCTCGACCTCATGAATCGCTAGAAAGCTTAATAGATCAACACATTGCACCATGCTTCCATCTTTGATCCTATAAAATAAAAAATAAAAAAAATAAAAAAATAAAAAAAAGTCGAGTAAAAAGAATAAGCTCACCTAGAATAATAAAGTTGTAATAAAAGGTCCACTTTTTGTCTTGATGATCGGTACTAGATTTGTGTGCTAGTTTGAGGATAAGGATGTGATTAATTCTTTAGTTGGCTTAGATAGCAACACACTTGATGCCGGTCCACTCAAAAAGGATTCTAGAGTTGTTTTGATTTGCATGATCATTTTCTTGATGTGTGGAGGACCATACTTGTTTGCTTGATACTGAAATTTTAGGAGATTGCTTGGAAATGTTTGAAACATTGCATACTTGAGGTAGTTTTCTTCCAATGCTTATTTACAATATTAGTACCTCTTTTGAAAGAATGAGCTTAATGTTTGTAGGTATCATTTCTGGAAACCCTCACGAGACTTCACTCGTCCACTAGGGGTAACCTAGGGGTTTAAAAGGCTTGTTGCATATGCTAAGTGCAATCGTGTTCCCTACGAATGTGGCGTTATCCATTTATTGCTTTCTAATACATAGTTGTATAGTTATTCATTTCATTCCTTTACTTTCTAGTTCTTTGCTAGGGACTTGCAATATTTAAGTTTGGGGGTGTAATGAGCACTGAAAAGTGCGTATTTAAACTCCTTAAGCTCAGGTATTCTAATACCCTTATCTATCTTACTTTACCGTTTTAGATTGATTTCGTGTTATTTCCATTTTCAGGCACTTATCCCGAAAATAAGCTAACTCAGCCAAATAAAAGCAGAAATGAAGCAATTCTAGAATGAATCAAAGATAAGAGCCAAGTGGAAGCAAAAGGAAGAAAAATGTAGAATTCAACATCTTCGATCGATCTCAGATCAAAGTTCGATCGATTCAACATGATTAACTTCAGCACTTCAAGATGAAGCAGAGTCATGATGACATTTTCAGAGATCTCAAATTTTTTTTGATCGATCGAACTACCTTGTCCTTATCCAAATGATTGATCTTATCTAGTTGTACCACCCTACCAACCTCTTTTGTCTTTTTCCCAAAAATATCTTCGAAATATCTCATAGTTATTTTTATCCAAAAAAGCGCCGCCATTGAAGATCGATTCAACATCAGTTTGATAGATCTCAGCCATGTTCGATCGATCCAAGTCCAAGGTTCAATCAATCGAACTTCCTCCAGTGTGAAAAAGTTAAATTTCCAGCTCATTGAAAGTTGTCCTTATCCAATCATTGAGGAATATTTTGTGAACGACCCCAGCTCATTTTGTGTGTCACTTGACCTACCTATATAAACAATATGATACACTTTTTGAGAAGGGAAGGATTAGCATTCTTAGGATTGATCTATCACAATAAAGGCTATTCTTAGGGAGGAAGAAAGGAGGAGAAGGCTAGAGACACAAGCTTGAGAGCTCTTCATCAATCAAGGAGTAGATTTCTTCCATGGAGTTTGCCCTTGAGGGTTGGAGAAGCATTACCATGAGTGGCTAGACATATTCTTGGGGCTAGAGTTAGCCCCAAGTATGCTTTCTACCTCTTGATTTTGTGTATTATTGAGGGATTAGTGTTGTAATACATGTTTTGGCACTTTTGTATATATAGATCTTGTTTATTCAATGATTTATGTGGTTTAATGCTTCCAATTGATCATTTCATTCTATCCATATGTCTATGTATGCTAGAATAGATATTCATGTGTTTGTCTCTATTTCTTGTGTTATTGATGCATGTCTATGTGTATTAATGCCATAGATCTAAAGATTGTCAAAACATAGTGCTTAATGGAATGCTCTTGTAATTTTCTTGATAGTTCTTGCTCATTTCTTGATGGATTGTGCTTCTCCCTTAACTTAATTAGTTTAATTTAATGTCATTAGCTTAATTGTAGTATAATGGTAGCATAGTTGTTAGATGGGAGGACAATCTATGCTTGTTGTTTGATGTTCCATGCTTTTAAATATAAGTAGCATATGTCTCTAACCTTGTGGTGTATTTGACTTGTGAGCTTAATGAAAGGATTAATGACTTGCTAGATATATTGTGTTTTTCACATGCTACTTAGACAATATATACATTATTATTAGATATATTGTGCTTTTCATATGTTGATTAGACAATATATACTTAATTGATCATCCTTGCTAATTTAATCAACCAAATACAAATACACATATCAATATTGCAACACACATTTCCTTCATTAGTCACTTGTTAAGAGTGTAGAAAAGTATTGTTTGGTGATGACCTCTAAACCCTGAGATCTCTCTCTCTTACTTACTCTTTATTACATTCAATTATTTAGTTTAATTTGCTCTCTAGTTAATCAACCAACCAACTATTTATTTAATCACTCGACCTATTAACCATAATAGTGATTCCACAACCAAATTCGACTCCAATCCCTTGGGACGATCCCTACTCGCCCTAACTATATTTTTAGTAAAGGTAGTAATAGCTTTTATAAATGTAAAACTTGGCCCTCGCCTTAATGCACACTCTTAAGCTTATGGTGTAGAGCGGCGAAACCACCACCAACCTACAAAGATAGTTAAAGTAAGAGAATTAATGTAAAGTAAGTTGTAAAGTTGCCAAAATTAAACCAAGCAAAGCAAGCATTATAATAAAGGTACTTTGAAAGATCTACTCTTCGTCTTTACTCAAGCAAAGCAAGTATTAACATGGTCTTAACTCAAGCAAAGCAAGTTCAGTGTGTCAAGGAAATAATCCCAAAGCAAGTATTAACATGTACAAGTACTTTTGAATTAAGTCCAAATTACGAAAGTTTAGTAGTTCAGCTTCTTCCATTTGTCAGCCGAGTCAAATCTCTGAAACTAGAGAATTGGATTCTTGAGGAGCTGCTTAAAAAAGATGGTCTACCCTATATGATTAATGTGGAAAACTTGGATATACAAGGTTGTTGTAAAAGACAACATAAAATTCCTGCACTGGCCTTCTTTCTGGGAAGTTTGCCTAATCTGAAGACGTTGAGTGTGAGCTGTATAGACTACATTCAATTAACACATAAATCAACACCACCAGTATCTGAATTAGACTACTGGGAATCTCAAGATCTTGAATTTCTACTTTTTATGAAGATAACAAAGATTGAGATTACAAAAGAGGAATCTGAAATTGGACTCATACAATATTTGATAAAGCATGCAAAATCACAAGAGAAGATGATAGTCATTGTTTCCCAAAAGGAAATTGGGAGAGCAGTTGATCAGATTGTGGAAAAGTTAATAAGATTCAGTAAGAGTTTCAATGAAGGAGCACTACATTTTGTGTTAAAATAAGAAGCTAATATTTGTGGTGAAATTAACGCTTATATGTGAGTTAAATCTTGAAAAGTTAGATGGGGTAAACAATCTCAACACTCAAGCAAAGCAAGTTCAGTGTGTCAAGGAAATAATCCCAGTATTAAAGCTTAAGCAAGGCTTATTTAATAGGTAAACAATTTCTATTGGTGCATGCATGTTCATCAGAAATGTTAGTTCTGCCAAGAAGCTTACAGCAAGATGAATCCTCAAGGAACTAACAAACATAAATACATTGTAGCATCATCATCCACATACATTAGTTGCATCCACATATAGAAATCAATGTACTACTTCACTCAGAGAAGGATAATTTCCAGTATCTAGTATCATGACACTACCGGGCAAATGCATAAACTTGCCCAACATTACCTCTTTCCAAATACACACCCAATAACCATAATCTCTAGAAGTGGCAGCTAGCAAGCATCACTCCTCCCACAACAATCAAAAGCTATTCTCAACTCAAAGATCAGTTTCAAATTACTATGACTTACGCTTTCACCAATGCCTTAGTGCTAATTTCATGAAGTCCTTGAAATTATGGTTTTAACACAAAAAACACCCAAAATTGGTAGTTTGTGATTTAATCCAACGACCTGCTTCATGTTTATAAGGTTTGGATTTGATTCTTCAAACCCTTCGTATCATTTCAAACCCATAATTGAGTTTCAGTCGTTTCTTACTACTTTCAATTTCTCCTAGTATCATTTCTTCCTGTACAAATTTAAAAGTAGCACAAAAGAGGCAAGACAACGAAACAATTAACAACTAATTAATAATAATAAAAAATGAATTTCAATTTAAACACGAAAGGGACAACTTTGAAACTGAAAACTATCTTGAAACTATGCCAAGATATGAATTTCAAACTGAAAACACGAAAGGGACAACTATGCCAAAAAAAAAATATAGAAATAGAACTACATGTAAATTGAAATTCATTTTTTTTTGAGTTACCTTTTTAGACTTGATTCTTGCAATGCCTTGTTCAAGTCTGTTTTCCATCTGCTCCAATTCCTTCGCATTTAAAGAGCAGCCTTCGCCCGTCAAATACCTGTAAGCAAAGAGGACAGTTATATACATACATATATATATAAATGTACATATATTAGAGAGTCCATATAATTTTTTACTTATTCAAGATTTTAATGCTTGTAATTGATGATAATTAATCATAAAGAAAAACCTGTTGGTATTCTGAAGCATATCTATTTGTTGTTGTAGCTTCTTCAATTCTTGCTGATAAAACTATATATATGCAACCCAAAAAACAGAATCAAATAGATAAAAAAATTGGTTAGTTAAATACTAAACTCATTCCTGCCAAAAGAGATTAAATAAACTCATTCCTGACTTACCATTTACCAAGCTAGCTAGCTTGTTCCCTATATATATATATATATATATATATATATATGAAGACTGGCTAACATGTAGGTTGCCCTATTTTGCCAATTCTTTTTCTTACAAGGAAGAGAATTAAAATGGAATACTATGTCAATTCTAATATTAATTGGGATTAATTTGTAATAAAACACAGAATCAGCAATGCAAAATGTCAAAAAATAAAATTATGATGCATGAACGACGATAACCATTCTTATAAATTACCTTGTTTCATTTATACACATGAAATGCACTAGTTATCATACTGAAAAACTTACCTAGTTATCAAAGCAATTAATTAAGTGACCATATATATATACATAGATATATAGCCTAACGAAATTATCAGATCAAAATATAAATTGGAAGCTAAGAAAGAAAAAGAGAGGGTGACCATATATATATATATATATGTTAGCTTATGAGGGGAAGAAGGAAACTACCAACCACTTTAACAGTATTTAAGCAAGCCATTGGTGTTCCCTTAGAGATGTCATTGATAAAGATCTTGACGAATGGTAAATAGATATACCGTGTTTCCAAGAGCAATGGCAAGAACATTGCTGCTACCCCAATCTAATAAATTCAAGTAGTAATCATCAACCAGATCGGGAGCATCTAATGTCCTCTCAGAAGTCTGCAAAACCACATTAACACCATTCAAAATCAATTATAAGAATTATGCTTAAGAATATCCATTCAATAAATCCTAATTGCAAAAATAAAATTCTACACAAGGAGATTCTAATTTAAAGCAGGGGTCCAAGCTATCAAACCAAACTTCTAAGTTCACCCTAGCCACTTCAAATTCAACAATCCACACACTATCCAACCAACAACATTTCTAACTAAACAGGTAATAAATTTGTGTAATTGGTAATTTCCCAAATATCCTTATAATTGATTTTGATAATTTTCATGTTCACTCAATATTGGGGGCATCTTGTTCACTATCCAGTACCCATTCCAAATCCAAATTCAACTAATTCCTTAATACCATGAATTTCAAAAGGCATTACATATCAATAAAAGATTAGAATCTATATATAACCCACGAAATTAACCACTGTCTCTGTTAGAAGTATGGGGCGAATCCCATACCATACCTATTTGAGTATCAATTTGATGAATATAACAGGGGATGAAAATACAAACCTCAATTCGTGTCCTTCGAATTTAGGGCTTCGAATGAGAGAGGGAGCTAGGGTTAGGGCTTGGAGAAAGGGGCGAATCCTTGTTCAATCTCGAAGCCAATCAGCTGTGCCGCTATCTTCTCTGCTCTAACGCTACGCTGACCGTCGATTCAACCCTCAGTGGCTTCGGTAGAAGGGTTGGGCTTGGAGAGAAAGAGGAATGACGGCTTGGACGGTCTGAGAGAAAGGGGGTGGCCGGCTTTCTTTTCATCTCCTTGCTCTGCTTTCTTATTTTCTTCCTTCTTTGGCGGCTTCTCCTCGGTAGAGCTTCCTCCTGCGTTGCTGCCTCCGAATCGTGAACTAGATCGAGAAAGGGGTGGTCGGCTTTTGACATGTATGTTTGTGTTCTGTAAGTGTGTTGTATGTGTGTAGTTTGTATATATTTTTACAGAGACACACATATATATATTTATTGACACCAGCGGGAATAAGACCCGCCAAAAGATATGTAAAAAATTTTCACTTTTCTACCACGGTTTTAAAATATCCGTGGTAGAAAGGCCCAAAAATAATTCACCTTCTTTATAACCATGGTAGAAAGACTCACCTAAATTATTAATTCACTTTTTACCCCGATTATAAAACTAACAGTGGTAAAATCATATACTTGCTACCACGGATATTTTTAAACTGTGGTAAAGGAATATACTTTCTACCACGGTTATTTTTAAACCGTGATAAAAAGACCCGCCTAAATTACATTAAAAATAATTCACTTTCTACCTTTATAACCGTGGTAAAAGAATATACTTTCTACCACGGTTATTTTAAAACCGTGGTAAAAGAATATACTTTCTACTACGGTTATTTATTAACCGTGGTAGAAAAGGTCTTCTACCGCGGTTTAAAAATAACCATGGTAAAAAAAGCATGGTAAAAAATTATTTTTCTTGTAGTACAAGATCGCCCCAACAAAATGGAGTTGCAGAAAGGAAGAACAAAACCATTCTCAATATGGCTCGAAGCATGTTGAAAAGCAAGGAAATGCTTAAAGAATTTTGGGCTGAAGCGATTGATTGTGCGGTGTACTTGTCCAACCAGTGTCCTACTAGAAGTGTGCAAAACAAAACACCACAAGAAACATGGAGCGGAAGAAAGCCAAGTGTCTCTCATTTGTGGGTTTTTGGGAGCATTGCCCATGTGCATGTGCTGAATGAAATGAGGACCAAGTTAGACAAAAAAAGTGAAAAAATGGTATTCATTGGCTATGATGCAAGTTCTAAAGGCTACAAGTTGTACAATCTAAGCAATGGGAAGATTGCCATTAGTAGAGATGTTGAATTTGAAGAGGGAGCCACATGGGATTGGAACACTCCAAATGAAGATTATAATATTTTTCCAATTTCGGATGAGGAACAAGAAAATGAAGGCATGGAGCAGCCCATTTCTCCACCAACATCACCTCCACCACCATCAATTCAAATCAATCAACTCCATCATCATCAAGTTCAAGTGACACACCACCAGTTCACATGAGGAGTCTTCGTGACATATATGACGAAACGGATGAGGTAACAAAAATGTTAGGTGATCTAACACTTTTTTGTCTCTTTGCGGATTATGAACCCGTAGGATTTGAAGAGGCGGCACAAGACAAAAAATAGAGAAATGCTATGGATGAAGAAATTAAATCCATAGAGAAGAATGACACATGGGAACTTGCTACACTTCCAAAAGAGCAAAAGGCAATTGGTGTAAAATGGGTGTATAAAGCAAAGAAGAATACAAATGGTGAAATTGAAAAATATAAAGCAAGATTGGTCGCTAAGGGGTACAACCAAAAGCCCAGAATTGACTATGATGAGGCATTTGCACCTGTAGATCGTTTGGAAATAATTAGATTGTTAATTTCTTTGAAAGCCCAAAACAATTGGAGAATCCACCAAATGGATGTGAAATCAGCTTTCTTGAATGGGTTTCTTGAAGAAGAGGTGTATGCTCAACAACCCATGGGCTATGTTGTAAAGGGGCAAGAAAATAAAGTCTTGAAATTGAAGAAGGCTTTATATGGCTTGAAGCAATCACCAAGGGCATGGAATAAGCAAATTGACAAATATTTTCAAGACAATAATTTTTCAAAGTGCCCATATGAACATACTCTTTACTCCAAAGTAAGTGAGAATGGAGATATATTTTTTGTTTGCTTGTATGTGGATGATTTAATCTTCACAGGTAGCAATCAAAAAATGTTTGAAGATTTCAAGAAGGTTATGGCTCGAGAGTTTGAGATGATGGGTATTGGCATCATGGCTTATTATCTTGGCATTGAGGTCAAGCAAATGAAGGATGGAATTTTCATTCACCAAGAAGGCTATGCTAAGGAAATTCTCAAGAAATTCAAGATGGAAGATTGTAAATTGGTGAACATGCCCATGGAAGTTGGAATTAAATTGTCAAGAGATGAAGATGGAGAGACGGTGGATCCAACATTTTTCAAAAGTCTTGTTGGAAGCTTAAGATACTTAACATGCACAAGGCCGAACATATTATTTGCAGTTGGGCTTGTTAGTCGGTTTATGGAAAAACCTACCATAACGCATTTCAAGGCGGCTAAAAGGATTCTTCGTTACATCAAAGGTACCCTTAATTTTGGGTTATTCTATTCATTTTCTAATGATTTCAAGCTTGTGGGGTATTCTAATTGTGATTGGGCCAGAGATTTGGATGATATAAAAAGTACTTCTGGCTATTGTTTTTTCATGGGAAATATTGCTTTTACATGGTGTTCAAAGAAGCAACCCATTGGCACCCTCTCAACTTGTGAAGCAAAATATGTTGCAACCACTTCATGTGTTTGTTAAGCAATTTGGATGAGGAATTTGTTGAAGGAATTACACATGCTACAAGAAAAGTCAACGGAGATTTTTGTGGACAACAAATCAGCAATTGCTTTGGCCAAGAATTCAGTGTTTTATGAATGAAGCAAGCATATTGATACAAGATTTCATTTCATTAGAGAATGCATAACCAAGAAGGAGGTGGAGCTCAAGTTCATCAAGTCACAAGATCAAGTTGCGGATATTTTCACTAAGCCCCTCAAGTTTGCAGATTTTCACAAGTTAAGGAGTTTGCTTGGAGTTGAAAAAAAGTTTAAGGGGGGGGGGGTGTTAGAAATTAAACTTGGTTATATTTTTTAATGTCTTTGAAGGTTAAGGATGTTTTTTATTTGATGTTTAATTTTATGTTTATGTGAGTTTTTATTGGAGTTAGTGGGGGGCATGAGAGTTACAACTACTAATGGTTATGTTTGTAACGACCCTGGTTTTTAGGTCAGCGTGTCCTGTGATGAACCAAAGATTGACCCGATAACGGATCCGATATGCGGAAGCGAAAACAGAAAACAAGACTCTAAGAAGTCAAAGTGACCTTCCATGAGGTTGTGGAACTCAACAAGAACAGATGCGGAAGCAAAAGATCGAAAATATGACAAATAAGCCCCCAGGGGCAAAATAGTCATTTATGAAAACTGTAGATTCAGGTGCCACCGAGTACACCGCTGGAAGGACGACGAAAAACTAATCAAGATGGATTCAAGAATCGCATGATTCGGAGTCTGAACGAAGGAGAAACGGCATGACGATAAAAAACGAGCACTTAAAGCAAAAAGGGTAAACTGGTAATTATCCAGGAAGAACCGGGTGCAACCGAGTACACCGTTGGAAAGACAACGAAAAATTAGTCAAGTTTTAAAAAAAATTCACTTGAATCGGAGTCCGGACGAAGGAGAAAAGCCCAACAGAAGAATTGACGTCGCGGCGGCCCGACGAGGGGCCATGGAGCGCACTGCGCCCATGCGCGAGCCCACCGACGTGCATGCCGGCACCCAAAGACATGGCTGGTGGCAGCCCTTGGCTGCTGCTACATTTTTTTTGATCTGCCCAGAACTAAGGCTTGAAACGGAGGTTAAGACGAGTTTTTCTGGAAAAACACGAAGAAGAAACCCCCCCTAAAATCGAGTTTTCTACCCGACATCATAAACGGAATCGAAAAAAACTCACTGTAAAATTCCCAAAATGCCCCTAGATCAGAACTGAACAAGAGGGTAATAAGGCTGCTAAATGAAAACTGGAAGCTGAAACTTCACGAGGGATTTCCGGTACCAAGACGACATTTTCTGGAAAAACACGAAGAAGAAACCTCCCCTAAAATCATGTTTTCTATTCAACCATGTCAAAAAAAGAAAATAAAACTGATGTGAAAGGTCCATAATGCCCCTAGATCAGAATATGCAAAAAAAAAAAAAATGCGAAATGAATTCACAAGAGGCTCAAAACACAAACGATAAGGTTTTGCCCGGATACGACCATGCACGCAAACGTAACTTACCTATTTGGACGTGCTACAATGGTCCATGGCTTAAAAATATAGCCGATACAAAATCCGACCCCCCAACGGGCAAAAAGGCAAAAATGGACTTGGAATGGAAAACATGGAATCCAAAAATGCAAAACGGGGTCAAATGACCGTTTGGCCCTTGGCCACACTTCAAACATGATTTATAAGACCCTATGAAAGAACGAAAACGGAATTCCCACACCCGATGCAACTATGGTGAACCAATGACTTGCGATTTTTCAAGGTTTTCATAGCTTTTCAAGAAATCAAAAGATACATAGGATACAATATAATGGTCATTGGCCTCCGGCCTCATCTCATACATATCAAATACATTGAAAGGAGTGTACTTAAGTACATATTACATACATGGAATCAAATATATATATTTTGACATATAAGTCTACAAAATGACATTTCATGCTAACATTTGAATGAAATGGAAACTTGAAAGCTATACGACATCTAAGGAATGCTAGGCTTCACGAACCAAGTCTTCGTACCTGAAATATACCCCAGTACCATAGGGGTGAGTAACATAAAGCTACTCGTAGGAGATGAGCATGCATCGACCTAGCATTTTACAAATTTATCACCTTAAGGTGAAACATGTTAAAGGGGTTTATGCCACCTAACGTCTATGTCCAAGTGAGACTCGGGGAGCATCCTAAGCTACCTTAGAGTTTAAGCAACAAGAATCATGATATACATACGTGTATGAAACGAATCATAGTTGGGATAATCCAAAGAACACGACAAGAAGAATGCTTGAGCATAGATTAACATGAACTGCATTTTCAATACAATTTAACTAGGTCTAGAGTAATCCATACAACATGACAAAAGCATATTTGAATACAAGTTAACAAGAATCACATTATCCATGCAATTCAACAACAAAAGAGCATGTTATACAATAGAACAAGGTTTAAGTTCTCAAAGCCATCAACTTAGAATCTAAAGCATAAAATAACAGTAGTGGTTCATGCCACCTAACGTCTATGTTATAAAAGAATCAATAGGATC